AGTTTATCAATTTTGTTAATTTTTTTAATAAAACAACTTTTTGTTTCATTGATCTTCTGAATGATCCTTTTGTTTTCATTTTCATTTAATTCTGCCCTAATTTTGGTTATTTCTTTTCTTCTGCTGTTTGAGGTTGGAATGTTCTTCTTTTTCCAGTTGCTTGAGATGGTCCATTAAGTTGTTGGCTTCCTGTTTTCTTGATGAAAGCTTCCAATGCTATAAATTTCCCTCTTAGGACTGCGTTTGCAGTATCCCACAAGTTTTGATAATTTGTGTCTTAAGTATCATTTTGTTCCAAAAATTTGGTGATTTCCTTCTTCATCTCGTCTTTAATATAGGCTTATCATTCAGCCTAAGATGATTTAGTTTCCAAGACTTTGTTTGAATATGAAGATTCCTGGTGCTGTTGAGTTCAACTTTTATTCCATGGTGGTCTGAGAAGATTACAAGGAATAATTTCTATTCTTATATATGTGCTGAGATTTGACTTGTGTCCTAACATATGATCTATTTTGGAGCATGATCCATGGGCTGATGAGAATAATGTATAGTCAGTTTTATTACGATGAAATCTTCTGTAGAGATCTGTAAAGTCCACTTGTTCTAAGGTTAGATTTAAGTCTAATATTTGTTTAGTTTCTTCTCGGAGGATCTATCCAAAACTGTCAGAGTGGTGTTTAAATCTCCAACTATTATAGTACAGGAAGATATCAAGTTGTTCACATCCATTAGGGTTCACTTTATAAATTGAGGAGCATTCTGGTAGGGTGCATAAATGTTAATTATCGAAACCTCTATGTTGGTAGTTTCCCTTGACAAATATGTAGTGACCATCCTTATCTTTCTTTATCTTTGTTTGTTTAAAGCCAGTTGTTTCCTAAACTAAAATTGCAACCCCTGCTTTTTTTCTGGTTTCCATTTGCCTGTATTATACAAGTCCATCCCTTCACCCTGAGTCTATTTTTTATCCTTTAATGTGAGATTCTTCTATACAGCAGATACCCGGTCTGAGTTTATGTGTCAGCCAACCTGTGCCTCTTTAGAGAACAATTTAAACCATTCACATTAATTAAGAGAATTAATAAGCCTGGTTGTGTTTTGGGTATCATGATTTTCAGATATCCCATGAACATTTTTAATACTTTCACCACTGTGGAAGTTGGGTTTTGTTCAAAACTTTTTGGGTGAGTTTACTTTGGAGGGAGAGCATTGTGCCAGTCATTGTGGAGGATGGGTCTGAGAATATCCTGGAGAGCTGGTTTAGTTATGGAAATTTCTTCAACATGTGTATGTCATTAAAGTATTTGATTTCTCCATCACAAATGAAACATAGTTTAGCTATACAGGATCCTGGGCTGGAAGTTGTTTTGTTTTAAGAGATTGAAAGTTGATAACCATCCTCTTCTGGCTTGAAATGTTTTGGTGAAAGATCTGTAGTCATTCTGATATTTCTTCCTTTGTTGGTGATGCTTTTCTCCTTTGTCTTAACTTTGGCAACGTTAACCAAAGGAGATGTGTCTAGGAGATGCTTGTTTTGGATTGAGTCTTACTGGAGTTCTGCAACAGTCTACTATTTGAAGTTCTGTATCTCTTACAGTGCTTGAGAAATTCTCCTCCAAAATCTCTTGGAGTACAGCATTTGTACCTTTACACCATCCTCTTCTCCTTCAGGAATTCCTATAAGATAAATGTTTGATCTTTTGGATTTATCCCACAACTCTCTCAGGGAATGATCAGCATTTGCTCTCCATTTGTCTGCCTTTTTGAGTGTTTGGGAATGCTCAAAAGCTTTGTCTTCAGTTTCAGAGATCCTTTCTTCTGTCTGGTCAACTCTATTACTGAGGTATTCTGCTGTATTTTGGCGCTCCTCAACTAACATTTTTGTTTCCTTGAGCTCTGCTATCTCTTTTCTCGTTACGTCCATATCTTTGGTGACTTGGACTTTGAATTCATTAATTTCTCGAGACAACTTTAGAACTACTCTTTAGAGTTCAATTTCTATCTTTTCTTCCATTCTATTTATCTTATTTGCCATCCATATTCTGAATTCAGTTTCTGACATTGCAGCCATTTGTCTATGCTTGGCTTCTTCAGTTGTATCTCCTTTATCATTTCTTGGGGGGTTTGATCTACTCTGGTTATTCTTGTTGGCAGAGTTCTTCTGTTGGGTCCACACCATGTTTCTTTTCCACTGTTTGGTTATTAGAACTGGTAGGGTGAGATTGAATTGTGGTTCCCAGGTAGTAGAGATAGCCCCTTACTAAAGCATTAGGCTTTCTAATTGTAGCTTATCACTTACAACCTTACAAAGGTCCCTTTCAGAGTTTTGGCTGGAGACTCTGAGGACCTACTTGGTGAGATAGTGCAAGCTAGCACTGTTTTGATATCAGGCAACCTCTACCCTATCCTAGGAAGCCACAGTATTAAGCTGAGGTTTAAATCTCAGCTGTAAAGAGATACAAACAGCTGCGGCACCCAGCCCCCACCCTTTAGTTCTTTTGCACTACAGAACTTCAAAGGTCAACCTCAGAATGTCTCTAAGTGGACAGCACCAGACACGAGTTCCAATTAAATTATCTCATGCAGTGCAAGTCCTGCTCAACTGAGAGGGATTCACCGATCTCCAACAACACAATTGGAGCCAGGGATCCACGCCCATGCCTGTCAGTCCACACTCTTGTCCACTTCTCTGCTCACAGACCCACTTGGAGCCAGGGGCCATGTGCCCCGCCCACGGGTCTCAGTCCCCATCCAGCAAGCCCCTGCTTGCTAGACCAGTTGGAGTCAGGGGACTATGCCCCCACCTGCCAATTTCAGTCCACTGCCGGGCCAGCTTCTGTTCACAGGCTCTGTTTGGTGTCAGTGCATCACACTGCACCTGCAGGTCTCAGTCCTCACCTGGTAAGCCTTTGCTCACTGCCCTGCTTCAGACAGGGGACCACGCCCTTGCCCTTGGGTCTTATTTCACATCCAGCAAGTCTCTGCTCAAGGGTGCTGTTGGAGTAGTGGACCACGCCCTTGCCCTCAGGTCTTAGTCCACGCCTGGCAAGCCTCTGCTTGTAGAGCCAGCAGGGGCTGAGGACCAGTCCTGCCTGCTGAACTTAGTCCACATGGAATAACCACTGTCCCATTGTGGGTGCTGTCAGAGCCAAGGGTTCTGCACCTCATCCCCCTGGACATAGCCTAAACTGAGGGTCACCATCACCACTGGTCATGCATAGTCATAACCAGGGTATTGGTCCTGCTCCTGTCGATTGTCCCTTTCTTCCCACACCCTCTTTCTTCCTTGTTAGTCACAGATTCCGTCCTGATGGTTGGCAGTCCATACTATGCCCAGATCTCTCAGGAAAAGACCAAACAATCAAAGGACAAGGGTCCTCTGTACTCTGCAGGGGGCAGAACTTCACACTGCCATGCAGCAGCAACGGGTGGAGTGGGAGTTTGGACTTGTGGGGGGAAATATCTGTTCAATTTTGTGTCTTACAAGGTGGTGTCTAGGTTCATAAGTGGGACCTCCCTGGAGAAAGAGACCTGCTGTTTAATGGCTCTCTCTAATGAGGTAAAATGAGAGGTCTTTTGTTCCCTGCTCACTTGAAGATAAGCTGTGGAGGGCCTCCTGCTTGGGGGAGGGGTCTCCAGTCCTCTAGTCAGTAGGCCTTGTACCTGTAGTTTATTTTCTTGAATGCTCTTCCTTAGAGTTATAGCTTGCCTCAAACTTCTTTCTTGGCTCAGTTCCCACCTTTGGCTTCATAGAGTCTGATTCCATCCAGTTTTTCTCTCTGGTCAGGAAAAGAGAGAAAAACCAGAACAAAAGGAAAACTCTCTGCTGAGGTTTCCTACTAGTCAGCTATCTTCCCAGAATTTCTCTCATGTAACTGACATTGTTCAAGGCTGGTGTGCCAGGAAATTCTGTATCAGAATTTTTCCTCCTAATTTTTTTTAATTACTGTGTTAGGAGTCACTCTTGGCTGTCAGCATCATAAGAGGGCAAAGGGAGGGAGGCAGGGGTTTGTGTGAGTGGGCCAGCATCTGGGAATCATCTGCCTTCACTCCATGCCCATAGCCAGACACATGTCTGGTGAGGGTTGGTCACTGTGCTCTTTGTGTGCAATGGTGCCAGATAGAAGTTAAGATTGATTCACAACCAGTGCCTGTAGCTTAGCAGCTAGGGTGCCAGCAACATGCACTGGGGCTGATGGGTTCAAACCCAGCCAGGGTCTGCCAAACAATGACAACTACAACCAAAAAATGGCCAGGAGTTGTGGTGGGCACTTGTAGTCCCAGCTACTTGGAAGGCTGAGGCAAAAGAATAGTGAGACTCTGTCTCAAATTAAAAAACAAACAAACAAACAAAAAAACACCCAGAACAAAAGAAAAACCAAAGCCCTGCCTGTGCCAGACCCTACGCAGCCAGCTTTCTGGTCAGCAGGTGCACTCAAAGCTCCTTCCTGGCTCTGGTCTGATCTTGGGTGTTTCCCAGTCTCTGACCTCTCTGAGAGCCTATACTGGGCTGGGGCCTTCAAAAAGACAGAGGCAGCACTGGCCCTGCAGGTCCTTGTAGTCAGTGATTCTAAGGCTTTCCAGTGGCCAGAGGATATCACTGGTCTTCTGGACCCAGCAGGACAACAGGGTCTGGCTCCTCTGAGCGGCTTCTTTCTGTGCAAATTTCTTTTTCTTTTTCTTTTTTTTGAGACAAGAGCCTCAAGCTGTCCCCCTGGATAGAGTGCCGTGGCATCTCAGCTCACAGCAACCTCCAACTCCTGGGCTCAAGAGAGTCTCCTGCCTCAGCCTCCCAAGTAGCTGGGACCACAGGCGCCCGCCACAACGCCTAGCTATTTTTTGGTTGCAGTCGTCATTGTTGTTTGGCGGGCCTGGGCTGGATTCGAACCTGCCACCTTGGGTGTACATGGCTGGTGCCTTAGCCACTTGAGCCACAGGCCCCGAGCCTGTGTGAATTTCTAGTGAAAGGATGTGATTTTTCTTCCTTGTTGCCTTTGCAGGAAATTGGAGGAGGAGAAAGTCATTGGGGCCACTTACTGCAAGAGGCTGGATGATCTGCTGCAGCAGTCAGACTTTGTGATGCTGACTCTGAGCCTTACACCCCAGACCCACAGACTGATCGGGTGCCGGGAGCTGAGGCTGATGAAACCCACTGCCATTCTCATCAACGTAGGCAGAGGTGCAGAACGGGGGAATTAAGGGACTTTTACTTTCTAAAGATATTCCTGATTTTTACTTTTACAGTGTTTTGAACCTCAAATTAGTAACAAAAAGAGAAGAATGCCACAATATGGGGGGATCTAAATCTCATCTCTTCATGGAGAGGAATTGGTAACGGTGTTACTTTGGCTATTTGATGTTTGCCCCATGAGCAGGCGGCCCTGTGTGGTAGCCAGTGCAGTGGCTGCAGGCAGTGCACTTAGAAGGATGGGAGTACAGTGGGGAGGCACCCCAGTGGGTGCCCAGTGTGGGCACAGCCAATGCCACGTTACACCAGGCAGCCTCCGAGGCTAAACTTCCCTGCTGGGAAGTTCTTGGAGACTCAGGTTGAGTGGGGCTCCGCAGGCCAGAGAGATAGCTTCTGGGAAAGCCCCAGGAGAAGCCTCAGGGTAAGCCTCTTCTGACAGCCATACAGCAGTTTCTCGGTGTCACAGCCAGGACCCTGTACATCAGCTTGGGGTCCAGGGCCACTAGTGGCCTCCACCAGAAGGACACTGTTTCTTTTGCTATCAGGCAGGTGGTAGCTGTCTCTTTACTCCTACACTGTGGCTTTGGGCAGTAGCATGAGATGGGCTTAGGTTTGCAGTTAGACATACCCGGGGTTGAGTCAGCACAGATGAGGTAGCAGCTATGTGACACATAGGTACGACACAGGACTTGCATGTCCTAACTACCAGCTTCAGTTTCCCACCTACAGAAGGAACACTGGCCTTGTTGGGTTGTTTCAGGGCTTAGGGAGATCATGTGGGTAGAAGACTCAGCTTTCTGTCTCGCACATGGTGGGCTCTGACCTGGTTTTTCTTACATCTAATATTCATAATAAATTAGACCTATGAAGTCTACATGTTTTTTGACAAACTTCTCCTTTTGATTTACATTTATTTATTTAGGACAAAGTCTTACTCCCTCACCCTGGGTAGAGTCCTGTGGCATCAGCCTGAGCAACTTCAAACTCTTAGGTTTGAGCAATCCTCTTGCCTCAGCCTCTCAAATAGCTGTGACTACAGATGCCCACCACAACACTCAGATAGTCTTTCTATTTTTAGTAGAGATGGGGTCTCACTGTTGCCCAGGTTGGTCTCAAACTCCTGAGCTCAAGGAACCCTCCTGCCTCAGCCTTCCACGTGCCTAAAAATTTTGATTTACCTTTAAACATGTCAGTGGAAGAGAAGTGAGATGTGTGAGAAACAGAAGGTGTGTTCCAAACTTCTGTTCTGCTGTGGCCAAGCTGTGGTGGTTACAGGGCTGCTTATTTTTGGCCTAGGTCTGCTGGTGGATCAGGATGCCCTGGTGGAAGCTCTTCAGACTGGGGTCATTTGTGCCGCAGCACTGGACGTGACCTACCCAGAGCCCCTGCCCAGGTAAGAGAGCCACAGAACCATAGTGGGTGGAGTCCTTAGACAAAACTGCTGTTGGTCTTTGCAGCCATGTCATGGAGCTACAGGGTCTTGGCCAGGGAAGGACCTAAACAGGCCTCTGTTGACCTTCCTATCCAGCCTGTGGCAACACCTCAAAAAGAAGCTCTTGATGCCCCAGGCAATGGCCATGGAGAAGGAAGCTGCATGAGATACCTCCCATATCCAGCTGTGACCCTCGGTATTGCCAAAGGATAAGTTTGGTCATTCTCGGTTAGAAATCTGTGCAGTTTCTATGTTTCACTTTAGTCTTGTTTTCTGAGGTTCAATATCCTCATACCATCAACTGTAACCTACATGATGCAATTTCTACCTTTTCCATTATCATCATCTTCCTAGCACTGTTAGTTTCCAAAGTCCTGTGAAAATTGCTCCTGAGAACCAAATGTGATGCCTGTGTCCTTGGGTTTGCAGGTGTGCATCAGCAGGACACATGTTATCTGATCCCCTGTTACACCCTTAACTTGTGAAGTTTTTAGTGAGATAAAACTGAAGTTGTTATTCCCTCATTGCTTTTTAAGTAATGTGTGGAAATTTATAGATATTTCATTTGCTTGTGTATTTTGACCCAAAGATCAAAAAGCAATCTCAACATAAATTAGGAAGCATGAGCATTGTAGACACTTAATGTCTAACTAACCTGGAAACCTAGAAGTTCCATGATCATTCCTGATGTTCTACTGAAATGACCTACTTATTAGATTCAAAAATAAGTCACAGGGCAAATACCAGGGTTATTCCCAAAATTTCATTTAACACAAGTGGTACATTCCCTGTGTTCTGTACAAAGCAGCTATCTGGCCTGTTACTAAATAAGTAATTTAATCTTTTACTGTCTCTTTGATACTAATCTTTTGATACAAATCTTTCATCTCTGTACTGTCTCTAACAAACTGAGTTTTCATCTTGGTTTGGGGGAGAAACTTTATTGCTGCCCACTATGGGTGTGCTTTACAGATAAAAAAGAATAGAATATTTTATAAAGCAAAATATTCAGGATTATTTAGTGACATTAAACATTCTTTGCTTTGCAAAATAGTTACTACTGGATTGTTTTTAAAAAGAAAAAATGGGCTCGGCGCCTATAGCTCAACCGGCTAAGGCGCCAGCCACATACACCTAAGGTGGCAGGTTCGAATCCCCAGCCCGGACCCGCCAAACAACAGTGACGGCTGCAACCAAAAAATAGCCGGGCATTGTGGCGGGCGCCTGTGGTCCCAGCTACTTGGGAGGTGGAGGCAGGAGACTTGCTTGAGCCCAAGAGTTGGAGGTTGCTGTGAGCTGTAATGCCACGGCACTCTACCCAGGGGGACAGCTTGAGGCTCTGTTTCAAAAAAAAAAAAAAAAAAAATGTATTTACTAATGGCACTAGTAGTCCCCAGATCACCCTTAGACTTAATGATCTGTCAGAAGGACTCACAGAACTCAGTAAAGCTATTGTACTCATGGCCACAGCATATTACAGAGGAAGGACACAGTTTAAAGTTATCAAAGGGAGACAGTACATAGGATAGAGTTTAGGACAGACCAGGCCCGAGCTCCCCTGGACTTGTGAGGACAGCACTGCCTATGTCCACCAATGATGTGTGACAAGACACACGAAAAATTCTCAGCCAAGGGAATGAACCTGAGCTTGGTGTCCAAGGGTTGGTCAAGTAGGGCTGGGAGCCTGAAGACCTGACCTCAGCTGCCTGGTCTCCAGCCCCTCTGGACATCAAATGATACCGCATACAGATGACCCAGGCGAATGGGTCACCATTAAAGACATTGCTAGCATTAGCCATATGGCATTGCTCACAGCCCCAAATATAAAGACACTCTTATTAGGCAAAAAGTCTCAATGATTCCACGGTGCTCTCTCAGGACCTGGTCAGGCCCAGTAATTTCTTTGGAAAATGCAGAATTGAGTACCCCAGGCTACCCTGCCTACCAGGTGAACCCTTTACCACATAGGCCATGCCCTGGCCATTAGCCTAGGCTTTCCTAAGCACAAAGGTCATATTTATTTGAGCATTTACATTTATTATAGTATTTATGTGACAGGTACAGCAACACTATCCATATGACTATGCCAATATTTGGAGGAATGGGATGGATTTAGAGAAACAACAAACATCCTCTAAAAGCCAAGCATAGAATTAACTAGGATTTAGCTGTGTCCGGTTTTTCCTTAGGCCACTCTCTATTGGTGTTACATCCCAAGAAGACTCTCATTCAGTCTCCTGAAATAGTCATTAATGTCAGTATTATCACGTGACTATTGAGAGGGCTCAACTGGACCTCACTGGCCAGGTCAGCACTGCACACTTTGCAGCATGGTCATGGTGCAGCCCAGTCTCACTGCAGGACAGATCATGAAGAATTGCCCAGACGTTTTCTGAACAGAATCAGGCCTAGCCTATGTACCAACTACTATTATGGACAAGGGTTAGTACAATTGGCCTGATTTGGTTACAGTCCCCAGGCTGGTACTGAGACTGGTTTCCAGGCCCCTCTTTCCAGGGGATGGACACAGGTGTTCTGAAAAGCTCCTTCCCCTTAACTACACTATAGGATGCATCTTCATTCCATCAGTCCTAGGTAAGGACAGTCACAGAGTTACAACCAGATCGTGGAGTTAAAGCAGTGGTTCTCAACCTTCCTAATGCTGCAATGTATTTTCATTGTTACAAAGGGGTGGCTGAGTTAAAGAGACCTAACAACTCTCAGTCTTCCTTGATTGATTTGTGTTCCAGAGATCATCCTTTGCTAAAACTGAAGAATGTCACTCTGACACCTCACATTGGAAGTGCAACGCATCAGGCCAGATGGCAAATGATGAGGGACATGACTGAGAGCATCCTGGCCTCTCTCAATGGCCTGCCCATTCCCAACGAAGTGCTGCCAGAGTGAGTCCCTGGGATGAGGCATGGCAGATTACACAGGCACAAATCGCATTCTGTGAACTTTATAATGTTCAGCTTAGTGTGCAGACTGGCGTATGTCATTGGGGCTAGATAGGCTTTTAAGGTAGCCATGGTTGCTGACTTTTATGGGAGGCAGCTCTTGAGGGAATTTCTGTTTTTTTCATTCATAAACTGAGCACAGAGAAGAATTACTTGTTTAAAGTTTCAATCTCTTCTCAGATGAAGGGATTCAGCCTGCAAATGGCTGAATTTGGATTAAAGCCCTAGACTCGGTTTTACTTTGAATTTGGATTTGCTCTGTGAATTTCCTAGAGGGCCTTTGTGAGGGAAAAGTTCTCCCACTACTCTCTCACAGCATGCTTATAACGCCAGCTACTCAGGAATTTCTCCTCAATAGCAAGCAAGTAATTCTGCAGTGGACATCACCTAGGTGACCTCTGACCCATTTCAACCCCGACACCATCCAACAGACCCCATGGGGGAGGGGTCAGGCCCACAACATTGTCCTCTTCCAGAGACTCGTCAAAAGTCTAGGGGCGGTGACTGTGGCTCACTAAGTAGGGCACAGGTCCCATATACCAGGGGTGGTGGGTTCAAGCCCAGCCCCAGCCAAAACTGCAAAAAAAAAAAAAAAAAAAAGTCTGGGCCTGCAGAACTTCTGACCACCCAGCTTCCCTGAAGCTTCACATTGGGCTTCCCATAACCCCTTCTTTGGGTTTGATTAACTTGCTACAATACGTGACTAAACTCAAGGAAGCATGTTTACCAGTTTATTACAAAGGATATGTATAATATTTTTATGAGACAGTCTTGCCTTATGGCCTACACTAGAGTACAGTGGCCAGATCATAGTTCACTGCAACCCTCAACTTCCAGACTTAAGCCATCCTTCCACCTCTACCTCTCAAAGGACAGGGATTATGGCCATGTGAGCCATCATGCCTGGTCCTGAAAGATGTTTTAAAGGATACAAATAAACAGATGTAGAGATACACAGAGTGAGGTCAGGAAGGAGGGTCCTAGCACAAGACTGCCTTGTGGGGCTGGGTGTGCACCCTCCCAACACTGGGGCTGTAGCAGGAAACCTACGCAGACAGAAGACTCCAGGCACCAGTTGATTAGAGGAAGAGAGTTTATTCGCCCGGGGGTAACTCAGAATACCATTATGTCTCCAAAACAGAGCCCCACCCACCACAACTCAATCTCTTGCTTCTCTTTTATCCACTTTTTAGGGTGGGAGTGCACATGAAGGTTATAAAACAGAGAGAGACATGACATCATCCTCAAAGTACTGGGCTCAAAGTGGAAGGCCAGATTCACCTGCATCCTTGAGACCAGTCAGACTACCTGCCCCTAAAGGTGACTGAAGTCCAGGGAAGTTACTAGGTTACAATCTAGGCCCCCTCTTAGGTCAAGGAAGAAACATACAGACAACAGAAAAGCTTGTGGCCTACACAGGGCAGCTAGGACAGATTCTTTTAGTTTCTTCCTTAGGTCAAGGAAGAAACATACAGACAACAGAAAAGCTGAGGCCTACACAGGGCAGCTAGGACAGATTCTTTTAGTTCTGCTTTTACTTTCTTGCCTCAAGACCAGTGCCCACTGCCCTCCCAAACACCTCTTCCAGGCCAACTGCCCAGCTTTCCGGACACCATCCTCTCGGGCCCTGCCTGGAGAGCTGTTTAGGTAGGCATGAACAAAGCATGGATACCTGCGTACAACTCTGACTAGACGAAAGGGTATGATCGAACACTAGCAGACCCAACAAGGCCAGTCTGCTCTCCTTGTCCTTGTTTCCCTGGTAGGGGCAGGACCCCTCAGGATGGAGGTCAGAGAACCTCCTTATGGCCAACTCTCACAAAAAGGCAGGGGGAAACCAGGGTTAACTTTCAGCTCTTCTTTCCTTCCCCAGGAAAAGGGGCAAGTAAAGGAGAACAGGAGCGTGTCAAGAGTGTCTGTTTCATGAGGCCTCCAGCTCCCAACACCGGCACAGAGGCTGGAAGGGGGTGCCACAGTGACAAGCTGGGCACAGGCACCCCCCCACGGTGCCAGGACCGAGTATGACACCACACGTTCCCCAACACTGTGGTCCCTACTCACGTGTTTTTTTCACACATCTCGACCAAGTTCTATGACTATAGGGCTGAGCCCTGCCCGGGACCGTTATCCGCTGGAGGCCGCGCCCACTCCCGGACGCGGTCAGCGTGGTGAGAGCAGTGGAGTCACCACGGCCCGCTTAGCCTCCAACTCTTGGGCTTAGTGATCCTCCGCCTCAGCCTCCCAGCGTAGGATCACAAGCCAGAGCCTTCGCGCTCAATCAGGACAGAGCGTGAGGTGCAGTCCTCGGCTCTCCAGCCCCGCCTACAGCCACGCCTCCACGTCTGCCGCCGGCCCCACCCAAATGCCAAGCCGCGCCCCCATACCACTGCCGCAAGTTTGCGGGACCCACCGGGCCACCACAACTCCGCCTCCGCGCACCTGCTCCGCCCACACACCGCCCGCCTCCGGTCCAGACATCGCCCGCTCCAGACGCCTTGCTCCTCAAATCCAGCCGTCGCACCGCCACACGCCGAGCGCCTCACGTCCAGACAGTATTCTGACCTGCACACCTCCCGCCTCGCGTCCAACGTCGTCCCGCCCACATACGCAAAGCCGCGCCAACCCAACGCTGACTTCGCTTCCAGCTGTAGCCCCGCCAGTACCTCGCGCGCCGCCCCCCCAGTTTGCCTATCATCCCCGCCTCCACGATTCCGCTCCTCTCACACACCGCCCACCTACTAACCAGCCAGCGCTCCGCACACACGTCGCGGTCCCGCCCACCCTCTGCGTCCTAACGTTAAGCTGCGCCCACGAGGCTGCCGGCCGGCCAGCCGGCCCACCCCAACACACCACTTCCCTGCCCACACGCTACAACCCGCCTCACCACGCTCAATCCGCCCACATTTGGCCCGCCTCCTGCTCAGTCCCCGTTTGGCCCATGTGCCGTGAGCCCTACATCCGGACGTAATCTTGCCTACACAACTCCCGGCTCACGTCTAGCCGTGTTCCCGCCCATACGCCACAGGCCCAGCCCACACAATCCACTTCGCTCCGGTCACACGCCGTGACCCGCTCGCAAAGTTACCAGCCGGCCCGCCCACAAACCACGGCCACACTTCTGCGGCCCCGCCCTGCCCGCACGCCCTGCGCCTCACGTTCAGACGTTGCCCCCTCTACATACCTCCGGCCTCACGTCCAGCCGTCGTCTCGTCCCACGCACAGGCCCCGCCCACAGGCCGCGCAATCCGCCTCCGCAACGAGCCTTCCGCCGCCAGTCACGCATCGCTCCACCCACGCCCTCCCATATGCCTCGGCCCCGCCCACACGCCGCAATCATCCCGTGGCGTCCTCGAAGCTGCCGGCCCTCCGGTCTTTTCCCTATGCCTCATGCCTTTCTGCCGTTCCTGTCCACTCGCCATGGCCTATCTTCAACATTCCAGCTCTGCCTACACGCCTCGGATGCCTCCCACACGTGGCCCAGGTGTTTCCAGCTTCCCTCCTACTTGCCGTGGGTCTTATCTCCAGACATTGTCCCGCCCACACGCCGTACGCCCTTCCTCCACACGTTGTTCCGCCCACATGCCGTGCTCCTTACGTCCAAACGTTGCGACGCTCTACAACGCTGCCGGCTGCAAGCTGGGACACGGTATCCCGCGCGCCGCGGGTCCTGTGTGTTGTCTCTCAGGTCACGTCCGGTGCGCGGCATGTCGGGTCTGACCGGCCGGCTGTGGAGTCCCCACGCAGGGCTCTGGGCGTTGCTCCGCACCTGCAATGCCGCGCTGCTTCCAGGCCGCGCGCGGGACCTGCACGGCTCTTCAGTCTCTTGTGGCAGCAAGAACCTGCTCAAGAAATTTGCCTCGAAATCCAAGTAATGCCGCGAGGTTGTGTGCGCGCTGTGGGTATCTGGAGAGGGGCGGGTGTACGCGAGGGGCAGGAAGGGTATTCTACCCCGTACCCCGGTGCGCTTCGTGACCTTTTTTGTCGGGTTACGACTGAAAGATAAGCGACAAGTTGGCTTCTCGCTATTAACACTTGCAGTCTGTCCACCTAATCTTTTTCTGTTTTCAAACGTTTGTGGGGTTTAAAAAGAAAAAAGCAAAGTGATAATGTTTATGTCAACTTTGTCGCCATAGTATTTTTCAGGAGGAATAATAAAGGGAAGAAAAAATATAAGAATTTCCTTTGAATGTTAATGTTGACTTTCTGTGGGGTCTTCATTGGAAAAATAAACCTCGTCCTGATAATTTGTTATAATTAGTGAACTGACATTGCTGCATTATTGTTAACTGAAGCCCATTTCCCCAGTTCTTATCTCAGTTCCGTTTTCTGTCCCAGGACCCCATTCAGGTTCCATATCACCATTCATGTCTTGTCTACTTAGGCCCGCCCAGACATTGTCACTGTCTTTTCCCATTTATAATTTTTTTTTTTTTTTTGGCCGGGGCTGGGTTTGAACCCGCCACCTCCGGTATATGGGGCTGGCGCTCTACTCTTTTGAGCCACAGGCGCCGCCCAATCTTTCCCTGCTTTTGATGACTGTGACAGTTTTGAGGATTGCCGGTAAGGTATTTTGTAGGATGCCCATCTATGGAGTTTCTCTGATGTTTTCCTTATGATTAGACATGGGCTTTGGAGTTTGGGGAGGGAATACACTGTGAACGTGACTCACACTGCTGATGCTGGCCCTGGTCACCTGGCTGAGGTGTTAGGTCTCTCTACTGTAATGAAACCGTATCCCCCATCCATACTCTTTGGGAGAAAGTCACTATTTGCTGCTCATATGTTAAGAGTTGTGTTCATAAATAATTTGGCATTCTGCATGAGAGATGTATCTTCTCCCTCATTTATTTATTTATTCATATCAATATGGATTCAGGGGTTAAAATCCAGTATTATCTTATTTTGCTCTAGTTGTTCCAGCTCTGACCATTAGGAACTCTCTCAGTACCTTTGTCCCTTTGACATACCCTATCATTGTGGGGTTGCCGTGTTTTCGTGTGTGTTTGTGTGTGTGTGTGTGTTTAGCACTTGTACTTTGTGGCACTACAAGATGCTCCAAGTTCACCTTGTATATTCCTGTAGCAACCCCAGAATTGCTCATTCTCCAAAGAGCCCTGGTTCCTTTTATTGGAGAGTGGTGTTAGAAATTTATGATATGGGTGCTGGGCATGTTGCTACTGGAGTGTGTGTGTTTTGGGCCTTCTCATCTGACAAAGCAAAAAATACATGTTTATACTAAACCTCACGTGTGTACTCACGTATAAACGTTTTTGTGTGGCCTTGGACTCCAGCTCAAGCACACACCACAGGAATCATTCTAGCCTCTTCCCTTGCCAGTCTGGAATTCCCCCTCCATTAGTGAGTGTGGTGTCCACTGTCTGCTGTGTGCTTGCTGAGTTGCAGCATCACAATTGTTCACCTCTTCCTCCTTGGGAAACAACTTTATCAACTAGAATATAGAATTAATGTACGTGTAGTCATTATGTTTTGAAAATCTAATTTCTCTACCCTTGGGATCAGAAGTGGACTTGAAGTAAAAATATGAGGTGAATTAACACCATGTTCATGCCCTCCCCACAGACCATGTTGTTATCAATTAAATATTGACGTTTTCTAGAGCCCTGGAAACAGAAGAACTGTGTCAGGCGGCACCTGTGGCTCAAAGGAGTAGAGCACTAGCCCCATATGCCAGAGGTGGTGGGTTCAAACCCAGCCCCAGCCAAAAACTGCAAAAATAAATAAATATAAGACAATGTCTTACTTAAAAAAAAAAGAACTGTGTCCAAGTTTGGCTCTTTACAAACAGTTGTGGTGTCATAACCTGTTGAGTTAACATATGTCGGTTTTTCTTTTTTAATTTGCTATCACTATCTAGCATAATTTTTATTTTCTTCCTGTAGAAAAAAATTTTGGTATGACGGTCCTTCCTTGGGGTCTCACTTGGTAAGTATAGTGTGGTAGCCATAATGTTGATAGGAGTCCAATTTTAACAGTTGGTGAAATTCTTGCTGGGCAGTCTTTTATAATAATTTCTATTTTAGAGGGAACAGTAGCCTGTATGGATGGGACTGGATGCCATTGGTAACATGAAATTTTGACCTTTTCAAAAAAATGTACTGACAATAACATTTTCTAGAAAGTCATAATTGTTATTAAGTTATGTTATAGTAATATCCATTAAATTTTTAGTGTGTGTGTATATTGTAAAAGCTTATACAATAAATGGCTCTCATTAGAAAAAATAAATGTGTATACCAATAACTACTGAATTGAATTCTTTAATAGAGTAAATTTTATAGTGTGTGAATTGTACTTCAATACAATTTTTTTTTTAATTTATGCTGGTGTCCAGACGGGGTGGCTCATGCCTGTAATCCTAGCACTCTGGGAGGCCAAGGTGGGTAGATTGCTTAAGCTCAGGAGTTTGAGACTAGCCTGAGCTTGCTGGTCCCATCTGTAAGAAAGTAGGAAAACTAGCTGGGCATCATGGTGGGTACCTATAGTCCTAGCTACTCGGGAGCTCGGGAGGCTAGGGCAGGAGGATCGTTTGAGTCCAAGAGTTTGAGGTTGCTGCAAGCTGTGATGATGCTGTGGCACTCTATCCAGGGCAACAAAGTGAGACTCTGTTATTCATATGTGTGTGTGTGTGCATACATACACCCCTCCACACAAGCAGTACTTTTAATCTTGGAGGACCACCAGGTAAAATCTAGAAGGATCTGGCTATAAAGCAAATATATTCACAAAAGCTGAGGTGCCTGAGAGCAGTATGTTTTACTGAGAGCAGCAGTGTCTAGTGATCTGTTGAGCTCGTCCCCAGGCCCCTTGGCGAGGGTCATTGAAGTCTAGGGTACAGTTGTAATGTTGGTCTTGTGTGTTCTTATTTTTGGTGGAGACTTACACACCATCACCATCAAAGTTCGAATTCCTGATGAAGAATACTTCAAAGAAAGCCAGGAAGGAAGACCAAGTGCGCCTGAGGACTCTGAATGGCCTCCTCCACAAAGCGCTCACTGACCTGCTATGCACCCCTGAAGTGAGTCAGGAGGTCTACGACCTGAGAGTGGAGCTCTCCAAGGTATACTATAGGGCCAAAGAGCAGAAATTGAGCTGAGGGCGGCAGGCCTGGCACTTAGTTCACACGGCCCATTCTTGCCCTAGAATTAAAGCATGGTATCTTTTCTCTCACAAAGTCTTAGTTCGGAGTTGCAGAGTAATGCTTGGTCTGGTTATCTGAGCACTAAAGACAGTGCTCAATTGGTGTCTTCTGTGCAGAACAGAGGTTTCACTGCATATAGGCAAGGGGTCCTTTGACATTGTCCTGGTACAATGTTAGGGGTTTTGGTATGTTGTCAAGTGTAGGAATACATCTGTCCTTTTAACTCAGGACAGAAAGGAAGGAGATACCTTCTTCCACCCAACTCAGAGTGAGGTTAGCTAAAGGGAAATCGGGTGGATAAGTGGCACTAGGGCATTTTCAATGAGTATCTCAGTGCAAATGGCCGTGAAGCCTGTGCTGCAGGGTCAGTTTAGTTAACTGAGGGGCTGGCAGGACTTGGACAAGAGGCAGGAGAGACTTTAGGTGCAGTGGTATGCCCCTGGGACTTGGGCTTTGGGGTAGGAGAGGTATCTGGAGCTTTTGTTTTCATCTGCTGAACATTGTTTGTCTTAAAAACCCTCATAAACTAAAAAGTGATTGGTGGGTGGGTGGGTCGCAGGTCTCCCTGACTTCAGACTTCTCAGCTTGCCGCGTGTACTGGAAGACAACTCTCTCCGCTGAGCAGAACTCACAAACACAGGCCACCCTACAGAGAAGCGCTGCACACATGAGGTGAAGGCGTTTGCTTCCTAAATGTACTTGGCTTTTTGCTTGCACATTAAATTTCCTAGCTGTTTCTCTTGTAAGTGGACTTACTTAACTTCTCACTAAATATTTTTGTATTTAAGGAAAATTTTAGATTTTTTGGAATTCCAGAGTGTAATTTGCATTTTCATATATGCTATAATCTGGGTCAGCATTTTAAAGTGTGGTCCAGGATCCCTATAGATCCAGCGGTCCTTTTGGGAGTTTGTGAGGATGAGAGATCCTTTACTTTTCTGCTGCGTTTGCACTGAGGACACAAGCCTCAGGGGAAGGTGCTGGTACCTTGTTGCCAGCCAGAGCCTCAGAGCCAGACATCACATGCTCACAGGAAAAGACAATGCCACTTTTACTTCAGAATATCCTTAATAAGCAAAAATTATTCATTTTTTAAAATCTTGACTCTGTGTGTTTTCTTAATACTCTGTGTAATGGGAAGCATACACAGACCACCTAGTGTCTGCTCAGGAATGATGGTTGTGGCAGGGAGAACACTAAACAGAAAAGAATGAGTGAGCAGACCTCAGGTCTGAGTGTTTTGGGAGACATTCTCTCAAAAGCAAGTGCATGGACCTGTCACTTCATGGCATTCCACTGATCATATTTGTTGCAAATAATTGAATTTAAGGTTTCAAGTGACAATCACAATTTTGGAAAACTTACATTTACTGCTGTGATAGCTTCTGAGTACTTGGAAGACTCTTCTGAAAAGATTGGCATTGACACTAACAAATGTAGTGTTATATAATAAATCTTGTAACCGTGTCAACATTTAGGAAGTCTGAATAATTTGGTAAGCTATTGTTTTCTAAGTGACCCATGTATGAGATGACAAAATCACACATGGGGAGATCTAAAGTGCCAGCTGGACCAGTGGATTTCAGCATGGCAGAACATGACATGTGGCTTGGTATGGTTTTAGATTCCATGTCATAACTAACCTTTAGTAAACTACCAGATGTTGGGCTTTTGTGTAGTATCAAGGAAGATCCACACTTTCCTGAAGGTTACTAATATGCTCTTTTCCCAGTCATGTTTATCTTTGTGTAGCCAGATTTTCTTGTATTCCAGTCAAAGTAAGGACAGAATGCAGAAGCAGTGATGCGATCCCAGCTGTCTTCCATTAAGCTAGGCCTGGGCCTGGGGAATGTGCCAGAATGTAATAATGCCATGCTTCCTGCTGTTTTTTTTTTTTTTTTTTTGCAGTTTTTGGCCAGGGCTGGGTTTGAACTGCCACCGCTGGCATATGGGGCCAGCGCCCTACTCCTTTGAGCCACAGGAGTTGTTATCCTTTTTTTTTAATCGAGACAGAGTCTCACTTTGTCACGCTCAGTAGAGTACTGTGGCATCATAGCTCACAGCAACCTTAAACTGTTAGGCTTAAGTGATTCTCTAGCCTCATCTTCCCTACTACCTGGCACTACAAGGGCCTGCCACAAAGCCCGGCTAACCTGCTGGGTTTTTTAATGTAATACTACATATATGGTTATTTTTCATTTAAAATGTCCATGTGAGCATTTAGTGAGTTTAGTATTTTAAGTGACATTATTTATTTATTTATTTTTGAGACAGTCTCACTATGTCGCCTTTGGTGGAGTACTCACAGCAACCTTAAACTCATGAATTTAAGCGATTCTCTTGCCTCAGCCTCCCAAGTAACTGGGACTTCAGGCGCCTGCCACAACGTCCAGCTATTTTTTGTCGTTGTTGTTGTGGCAGTTGTCATTGTTGGTTAGCTGGCCCGGGGTGGGTTTGAACCCACCAACTTTAGTGTATGTGGCTGGCTCCGTAACCACTGTGCTATGGGTGCCGAGCCTTAAGTGACTTTAAAAAGACATGATTTTTCAATTTCTGAATTAATTTCTAGTATATTAAATATTGATAAAAACCTACGCAAACAGAAGTTCTTTTGGATCCTCAATAATTTTCAAAAATGTAGACTTTTCCTGAGACCAAAAATTTTGAGAATTGCTGAACTGGCACTAATAAAGAAGTTGCTTAGTTTTCTCTTCAGTGTTAAACAGAAGTCAGACTCACCAGCTAGTACATGAGAGCTGAATTCCTCCTCTAGGCTCAGCCCCTCCCTTTTTCCCTCTGGCCTCCTCACCTTTTTTGGTGCCCTGTTTTCAGGGGAAGGGGCAGAGACTGGGAAGTTGTCCTTGACTTTGTCACATAGTCATCACTGACATCTCTTATAGCAATCCCTGAGAATCTCTCAAATTGTGTGTCAAAGAATGGCCAATTTCATCTTTTACTATTTAAGAAAAGCAGGAAAATGAGAGATTTCCAACAGGTGTTGAAATAGCATTGCTTTCTGATTTTAAGCCAATCAGAAAATTTAGTTGAGCTGAAGGTCCCTCTTCCCGGCTCGATGGTCACCTAAGGTTCATCATAGCTGAACCTATAGCCGTCTGCTGAAATCTGCATACCTGTGTTCTCTGGGCACCTGTGCTGTGCCTAGACTTGACTGTGGTTGGTTTGCTTTGCATGATGTAATACAAAGGTCCTTTCTGAAAATGCAAGATCACTTCTGAAATCTAGGTCCTCGAGGATTGTGTCCTGCAAGTGATTGTCTACTGAGTGGAGGACAGGCTGCTAGAACACAGGCCTGAAGCCCAAGGCCTGGGTGGTGCCCAGAGACAATGCACTTCAGGTCATGTTGTTTATAAGCATCTCAGAACTACACTGAGAGAATTACAAACAGCTGCAGTTATAATGCATTTTATAGCCCTTTGTGGTGTGGTGTTGGGTGAAGATGGCTTTTCTGGATTTACATTTTCATCTTTGAGTACTGCAGTAAACCTCTCCTCCCTCCTGGTGAGTCTTTCTGTCTTCTGCTCTGTGCTGTGTTACCTCATGACTGAGCCTGCAGTGCACCTGTGAAGACCCACTCTCTCCCCAGGCACCTTCTGATGTCCCAGCAGACACTGAAGAACATGCCCCCAATAGTGTTTGTTCAAGACAAGGAAAATGCAGCCCAGGTGGAAGTAAGGTTTTTGAATAATTAACTCTTTATCATGTAAACTTTCATATGAGTGGAAATTTAAATTTAGATTTCTTTTTTTTTTTGCAGTTTTTTTGGCTGGGGCGGGTTTGAACACACCACCTCCCGTATATGGGGCCAGTGCCCCACTCCTTTGAGCTACAGGCGCCACCCTAAATTTAAGTTAATTTTTAAATATTGAAAAGATAATATAGTTACCTTGTTCCAAGCATGTAGTGGTGACTGCTTTTTTGGGTGTAATTTTTTATGTTTATCACTGTAACAAAGAAGTAAATGAAATCTATTCCTCACCTCAGAAACTGGACACTCTGGAGGCCAGAGCTGCCCTCCTGTGCTTGCCCCTACTTTGCATTTCCCTCCCTTCAAGTGACCAAGCTTGTAAGGTTTACATCTGCCCTGTGACTGTGTTTTTATCATGATGATCCTTGCTGACAAGTTAATTGTAAAGTTAAAAACCTGTAAATATGCACGTGTGTGTGTGTTATTTTATTTATTTATTTATTTTTGAGACAGAGCCTCAAGCTATCCCCCTGGGCAGAGTACCGTGGCACCATAGCTCACAGCAACCTCCAACTCCTGGGCTCAAGCAAGTCTCCTGCCTCCGCCTCTCAAGTAGCTGGGACCACAGGCGCCTGCCACAACGCCTGTGGCTGTTTTTTTTGGTTGCAGCCATCATTGTTGTTTGGTGGCCCGGGCTAGATTCGAACCCGCCACCTTAGGTGTATGTGACTGGCGCCTTAGCCACTTGAGCCACAGGCGCTGAGCCTATTTATTTATTTTTAAGACGGAGTCTCACTCTGTCATCCTAGGTAGAGTGCCATGGTGTAATCATAGTTCACAGCAACCTCTGATTCTTGGGCTTGAGCAGTCCTCCTGCCTCAGCCTCCTAAGTAGGTGGAACTACAGGCATCTGCCACAACACCTAGCTAGTTTTTCTATTTTTCATAGAGACATGATCTCGCTCTTGATCAGGCTGGTCTCAAACTCCTGAGCTCAAGGAATCCTTCCGCCTTGGCCTCCCAAAGTGCTGGGATTACAGGCATGAGCCATTGCACCCGGCCCATATATGTCTCTGTGTGTGTGTGTGTGTGTGTGTGTGTGTGTGTGTGTGGTGTGTATATATGTGTGTGTGTTTGTGTGTTTTTTTTTAATCTGGGTGGTGGTTACCTGGTTGTAGTAAGGTATGTTATGTCTTAGAAAAGTTTTCCAAAAATCAGCAAATAGCATTTATAACATTATAATTATGCAACTATTATTCACTTGATGACCAGACAGGGTTTAGACCCACAGAAAGAAAAGAAGACATTTGACATTTTTGTCTTCTGTTACGCATTGTATAAGTAACATTACATTAGGCAGGCAATGATCTTGACAGATCTGGGGTTTCCCTTCCTAGTTAGAAAAGGAAGCCAAGGCTCGGCGCTTGTGGCTCAAGGAGCTAAGGCACCAGCCACATACACCTAAGGTGGTGGGTTCAAATCCAGCCCGGGCCGCCAAACAACAATGACGGCTGCAACCAAAAAAAATAGCTAGGCGTTGTGGCGGGCGCCTATGGTCTCAGCTACTTGGAAGGCTGAGGCAGGAGACTCGCTTGAGCCCAGGAGTTGGAGGTTGCTGTGAGCTGTGATGTCACAACACTGTACCCAGGGGGACAGCTTGAGGCTCTGTCTCAAAAAAAAAAAAAGAAAGAAAAGGAAGCCAAGGAGTAGAGTGACAGTCCTCCCTGTGAAGGGTTAAGAGCAGCATAGGTCACAGCAGTGTGCTGCAGGACATTAGCGAGGCCTTTCTCAGCACCTTCTTGGGATCTCCAAGTGAGTGCCCACCACAGACTCCTACTGCCTTTGGAAGGGAGGTTCCACCCAGCTCTGTTGGTTCCTTCCCAGAAATGGTCACTGGATGGGGAGGCACAGGCTATCTTGAAGCTGGCTGCCACTGCAAGGTGGGACCTGAAATGCTCATGTGGCCTACTCAGAACATCCCTGGAGGATAGAACAAGAAACAGGCAGGCTAAGATTTGGGCAGGATAGCATCTAGTGAGGTTTGGGCTGCTGCCCCAGTATAGGTATATCACATGTGCCCAACAGAGGTGCAGTTTTCATGGTCAGTTTGGGTCCCTCCACCATGACTCCTGACAGACTTCCCAACATATTTTACCTTGTCTTCTTCGGAAGCTTTTTGCAAACATAGACGTTCTGTGGCAAAATTGAAGCATTTTGTAAAACTATGTTAGACAGGGGCGGCACCTGTGGCTCAAAGGAGTAGGGCACTGGTCCCATATGCCAGAGGTGACAGGTTCAAACCCAGCCCTGGCCAAAAACTGCAAAATAAATAAATAAAAATAAAGAATGATGTTTAAAAAAAAAAGACTACGTTAGACATGAGTAAATGTTATTTAATTCAAGTAATGTTTAACTGATGTTTTCATAAATTTGACTGTTGATAAGTTTTATTTCTTGTGTATTTGTTTTATTTTTTCTTTGAGACAGTCTTGCTCTATCACCCATGCTGGAGTACAGCAGTATTATCATAGATTACTGAAGCCTTGAACTTCTGGGCTCAAGTGACCCACCTCACCCTCCCAAAGTGATATGACTATAGCCTCATGGCACTGAGCCCAACCAGACTAACATTTACAGTTTTAAATATAGTTTTGTGGGAGTCTTTTTTATTTGTTTGTTTGGTTTTGGTCGGGGCTGGGTTCGATCCTGCCACCTCTGGCATATGGGTCCAGTGCCCTACTCCTTTGAGCCACAGGCACCGCCCTTAAATGTAGTTTTGAAAACGCCTTACTTCATTATCAGAGAAAATGTGATATGTTCAAATAACAGTAAGGTGTTGGAAAGCACAGGCTATTGAACAAACCCTAGTATTTGGGGAGAGTCAATCAAAGGAATTTTATAAAATTTGATGGAAAGATCTGTGATTGAGACCACACAGAAGGAGGAGTGTTGGAGCTGGGTAGAGCCTAGCCCTCATGCATGTGTGGAGGGGCAGGGCTCACCACTCTACCTCTGTTCCTTTTCAGATTGACCACTTATTGGCCATAGCTGACTTTGGACCCCAGGAGGGAGAACATTTTGTACAAAACGACTTCAGGTAATACATGTGAGCATAAGTTTTAGTTCCAAGGGTAAATTCCAGGTGTGCTGTGGTGGTTTTTCACGGAGGCTGCACAGCTTGTGCAGACCCCTGGCATTTGCCTGGGACCCAGTGTCCACCTGCAGCAGGCCTGTTTTGGGCCCAGTGCTGTTTGCAATGAGGGCCTCAGTAGTCAACCCAGCAGTGTTGTCAGGACTCTTCCAGTGAGGAAAGGGGTCTCTTGTGAGTCTCTCATCCTTTTCATTAACTCAACACGTTTTTGAGTGCCACCTAGCACTGGCTTGCCACTGGCCCTGGTCTGGCACTTAGAACACATCTGTAAATAAAAAGCAGTGCTCTCTGTCTCTGGAGCTTGTAGACATCATAGAAGAATCAGTGCATTGGGGATCTGCAGGAAGGCAGGGCCGGCAGATTGGGAGTGGCCCATGGAGGTAACAGAGCCTGGGAGATGCAGGGGTGTTTGGGGGTCTGGTCCACCCATACAGATAAGGACAGGATCTTGCTGTTGTCCTCAGACAGCAGTGTCAGTGTTGCCTAGACATTGCTCCAGTGTGGTTCTTCTGGCCTGCCAGGGGCTTCTGATGCTTCAGCATGAAAACTCTGGAGCCAGACAAAGCCCTGCAGAGAGACCGACAGCCCAGCATGTCCGGAGTCAGGGAGCTGAGACAGGGTATGGGAAGGCCCGGGGGGTGATGGGACCTCTTGTGTGTGTTGCTGTCTGTGCACAGACTCCTCTAGCTCATCACAAAACCTGGGTGAGACCTGAGTGACCAAACCTATAATTCTTTCTGTTTAACTGGCCTGGTACACTGGGCACGTTTATTAAAAACCAGTTGAAGAGGGTGGTGCCTGTGGTTCAAAGGAATAGGGCACCAGACCCATGTGCCAGAAGTGGCAGGTTCAAACCCAGCCCTGGCCAAAAACTGCAAAAAAAAAAAAAAAGAAGAAGAACAGTTGAAGATGCATTTAGTGTTGATACAGGATGCCACATCAGGACTGTGCTGTCCACTGGGTACTGGCTCTGGAGAGGGCCCAAGCCCATCCCCACCCTCCTCCATTGCCCTCAGGTTGATGCTCTAAAGCAGTGGTTCTCAACCTTCCTAATGCAGCAATGTATTTTCATTGTTAAAAAGGGATCGTGACCCACAGGTTGAGAATTGATGCTATAGAGAGTTCAGGAGTGAACAGATGAAGAGCACCATGTGTGGGCATCCAGGCAAGGGTACTATGGTCTGGGATGCAGTTTGTGCTTTGTGTGAAGGCTCCTCTTCTCGTCTTCCAGGGACCCTGATGCTCCACCACTGTGTGGCACTGCGGAGCCTGCTGCTCAGTCCAGTCTGTATGGGATCGATCATGAGGCGCTCAACAAGCAGATTGCAGAGTACAAGAGGAGAAAGGAGAGCAGGCAGTGGCACACAGCTGGGCCTGGGACAGTGGCTGAGCTGGCAAAGCAGATGATAAAGAAGAAGGCCAAGCCCCGTGGAGACCAGGACAGCTCCCTTAGGAGTTACCTGGCAGGTGGGGACGACCTGGACGATGCCCCAGGCTACAAGTGCCACCTTCACGACTCAGAAGAGTGGGAGGCAGAGAGAGGAGGTAGCACAGATCAGGGCCGCTGCTGGGGAGCCCGGGAAGAGTAGACCACACAGCACCACCTCTGACTGCCATGGCTACAGAATGTGGACTCTGCCCAAATGTGTTAGAGAGGGTCCACCAGCAGGAGGCACAGCGTACAACCAGGGAGGCCACTGGTGGTGTCATCTGCTCTGTGCTTCAATGTTTCCAGGCTTTTCCATGTATCTAAACATGGTTTCCTGTAGGAAAGTCACTGGTGGTTAAATTAAAAAAATTAACAGCTGGCTCTGCACCTGTAGCTTAGTGGTTAGGGTGCCGGCCACGTACATTGCGGCTGGTGGTTTCAAACCCCACCCAGGTCTTCCAAACAACAATGACAACAACAACAACAAAAATAGCCAGGCGTTGTGGCTGGCGCCTGTAATCCCAGCTCCTTGGGAGGCTGAGGCAAGAGAATCACTAAGTCCAAGAGTTTGAGGTTGCTGTGAGCTGTGATGCCCTCACTACCTAGGGCATAGTGAGACTCTTTCTATATATGTAAATAAACAAACAACTGAAATGAAACTGAAACACACAAAATGAAAATAGTAAAATAGCATTTCACAGATGGTAGCCTGGGCCCTTCTCCCTGCACAGCTGGGCCAGCGGCGCTGAGTTCTTGGCCCGTGGGACTGGACACAACACTGTGGAGCCCCCACCTGTCTAGAGCTGCCAAGCCTGACCCAGTATCTGGGGCTCTGTCCTCTGACCAGATCTCTTATAGTTTCCACTCCTGGTTGAGGCCATGGTTGAGCAGAATGTGTGAGTTACTGAGTTTGATGGGGCTTCTTGGGCTCCCCTGCCCATGACATGGCCCCTGTCACACCTGAGCAGTCACAGCCTTTCCTTTTGGTACCTATGGCCAGCTAGTGTGTATTTCCTAAAGTCCACCCAAATATCCAGCAGATCTGGTCTTTGCCTTCTAAGGGATATAAGCCATAAGGAGCATCTATCCTACTAAATTCTTTATATAGCCTCCAAGGCAGACTCATTTTACTGTTTACTGGAAGAAAGACACACCACACCCTGTAGATGATCTTTTGGTCTGGCCATTTCCCACAATGCCCAGGCCCTCACTGTCAAGTTCTAAATTCCCCACGGTCTGGGAACCAAACTAGCTACGAGGTCAGTGTTGGCTCCCTGAGCCCTTATTTCCTAGTTTCCTACCAATACCATGGGACTAGGATTTCTTATGTGTTACTGTAAGGCCTGAGATGGCATACAGAAAGCATTTGAATGTGATAGGTGCTTGCTGAGTGGGAGGCAGTCTGCTATGAGAGCAGGTGCTGAAGTGGGCCATGTGGAGACCTCTGTGGCGCCCCTCACTGAACTGACAGTGGTGGGTCCCGGAAAGGAATTGGGCAGAGACCAGCAGCAGCCAGTAGACAAGTGTACCCCTTCCCTCTCTATTCTGCAAGAGCTGTTCACATCACAGTAAAAACATGTTTTGAGTTGATCACAGTACAGTTCCCAGGGTAGGGCTGGGCCTGGTACTGGCCAGAGTCCCTCCATGGTCCTGGAGTGAGGCCAGTATTGGCACCTGAAGGTGACTTTCCTTGGTGGGATTTCCAGTGTTATCCCTGGGACAGAATCTCCAGCTCCCTCAGGACTCAGGCTCCTTTCCTCCCCATTCCATTGGCTAGGAAGGGAAGCCTGTTTGATATTAAAAAAAACTTCAGCTGTAAAAAACTTCAGCTTGTAAAGCTTCCAGCTACCTTGAAGGAGAAAGGGCTTGGGTGGATTTGTGGGGGAGGAAAGAGGGGATGGGTAGGAAGAAGGGACAGGTGGAGGAAGGATGGTACATGCCCACATAAGGGTATAGGGAACAGAGACCTTTCAGTGCTTGGCTTGTAGCAGGTGCAGAGGGAGAGTGGGAGCAAAGATGGCCCCCACATTTTCTCTCTGCTTTAGACACAATGACCATAAATATCTGTGTTCTGACACTGGCAAGCATATTGAAGTAAATTAATTTTCTATTTCTAAAGATAATTTTATGTATTTTTTCCTTTTTTGAGACAAAATCAGACTCTCTCTGGGTAAAGTGCCGTCATCACAGCTCACAGCACCCTCAAACTCTTGGGCTCAAGTGATTCTCTTGCTTCAGCCTTCCAAGTAGCTGGAACTACAGGCACCTACCACCACACCCAGCTATTTTTAGAGACAGGGTCTTGCTTTAGCTTAGTCTGGTCTTGAACTCCTGAGCTCAAGCAATTCACCAGCATCGGCCTCCCAGAGTGTTATGATTACAAGTGTGAGCCACCACAGCCAGCCTAACTTTGTTTTCTTTTTACAGCAGTGGTATATGTTCTCTGTCAGAAAATCTATAACATGATACCACCAAAATAAAAGAAACGAAAGCCCCATGTAATCTCATCTCCCAGAGACAAGCACTGTTAAATTTGGGTGCAGAGCTGGATTTTGTGGGGGATGTCTACAGTCCCATCACTTTGGGAAGCCAAAATGGTAGGACTACTTGAGCTGAGAATTTGAGGCTACATTTGCCATGATCATGCCTGTGAACAGCCGCTGCACTCCAGCCCAGGCAACACAGGGAAACCCCATCTTTAAGGACAGTTGGGAGAGCTCAGCGCCTGTAGCACAGTGGTTACGACTAAGATTGGCAGGTTAGAACCCAGCCCAGGCCAGCTAAACAACGACAGCTGCAACAAAAAATAGCCGGGCATTGTGGCGGGCACCTGTAGTCCCAGCTACTTGGGAGGCTCGGGCTTAGGCAAGAGAATCACTTAAGTCCGAGAGTTTGAGGTTGCTATGAGCTGTGAAGCCACAGCACTCTACCAAGGGCGACATAAATCTGTCTCAAAAAAAAGAAAAAAGGGCAGCGCCTGTGGCTCAGTGGGTAAGGTGCCAACCCCATATACGGAGGGTGGCTGGTTCAAGCTCGGCCTCGGCCAAACTGCAACAAAGAAAAATAGCCAGGCGTTGTGGTGGGTGCCTGTGGTGGGCGCGTGTGGTCCCAGCTACTCAGGAGGCTGAGGCAGAAGAATCACCCTAAGCCCAGGAGTTGGAGGTTGCTGTGAGCTGTGTGACACCGCGGCACTTTAACGAGGGCGATAAAGTGAGACTCTGACTCCACCACAAAAAAAAAAAAAAAAAAAAGGAACAGTTGTGGGGAAGGAGTTATATACGTTTCTAGCCTTTTTTCTGTCAACGTATTTACAAATGGGATCACTGCATATACCTCTTTTAAGATAAGTTTTTATTTTGGGATATTCCAAAATGTACAGAGAAGTAGAAGTCAAGTGTCTAGTATAGAAAAGTTTTTCTAAACCATTTGAGTCAGCAGCTTACTTGATAACCTAGAACCACCGTTGATGTGTATTTTTTTAAATGTGTATTTCCTAAAATGTCCTAAAAACAAGGACATTTTCTCACAGAACCACAGTGCAACCATCAAAATCGGGATATCAACACTGACATATTAATACACCCCAGACTGGTTATATAATTTGTGGGGCCCCATGCAAAGTGAAAAAGTAGGGTACCTTTTTTAAAAATTAATAATTTTAAGATGGTGAGAGCATGGAGTTAAACCACATGTGAGGCTTACATGGCACACGTTGCCCACTCACAAAGCCTGCTCTGATGCCAGTAGTCCTCAGACCCCTTTGAGGTTTGTCATTTGTCCCAGTGATGCCTTTGCTGCCAAGGACCTGCCACCCCATGGATCCTCTCTACCCTGGAGCAACTGTCCCGATTCCTTGGCCTTTGTGGGGTTCTGAGGAGTGCAGCCCAGTCATGTGGAGCACACAGCAGTTTGGACATGCATGGTGCTTCTCATGACTAAATTCAGGACTTGCTTCTCTGGCAGGGACGTCAGGGTAGCAACATTGTGCCTCAGTTCTGGGCTGTCAATTCCTGGCCATGTTTGCACATCTGTCAGGCCCACTCCGTGCTACTAAGTACCTCTGAGGTACTAGATAGAATCCACACATCCTGCCCCATCAGATTTTAATTTTATTTGGTTGTTTAGTCAGCATGAACTTGAGGTTTTCTATTTTACTCAATAGTTAATACATTCATATGTTTTGATGCTTAAATTATCCCAACTTTGGCCATTGGGAACCTGTGGCTGCTATAACAAATTCGCATAAACTTGATGGCAGAAATAATAGAAATTTGTTGTGTCACAGCTCTGTGACCAGAAGTCCGAAATCGAGGTGTGGGCCGGGACTTTCCCTCCCTGGGCTCCAGGGAAGGGTCCTTCTGTTTCTTAGGCCTTGCTTGGCTTGTGAATGCTGTTGTTATTTTTGGAAATAAAAGAGTATACACGTATATATTTATTTCTCCTTACAAGGTAGCATATTGTACATATTCTTCTAATGCTGGATGTTGTCACTTAGTGTGATACCCTAAGCCTCAGTATCAGCATGTAGAAAGCTGCTTTCAGGTTCCCAAATGGAGTCACTTCCTCCGTCCCAGTACGCCTCTGCTCACTCTCTTTTCTTTATTCCATTAAATTGTCAAATATACTGCATTTTTATGCATTCTGTAATATACAATCTACATATTTTCTACAATTTCATTAAATCAGTTAAGTGAAGAAAAGAAAAAAGGACATACTTATTCTGTATTTTATAATTATATAACCATTACTGATGTTCTTGGTG